TAAACCCAGTTATAAAGAAACAAAATTTATTAAATTTGATATTCATTCCATCAGAAAATTGCAGTTGAGAGATAGCTTAATTGATCTGCAACAATGGCGGGTGCAAAAGAAAAAACAGTGACCAACAAGCAAGTTATATTCAAAAGCTACGCGAATACACGTTCCCCTCAAGCATAAGACATGTATGTGAGTAGTAATTCGATCAAACTTCAATTACCAGAAGGAACGAATGGAGTTATTATCAAGAATCTCTACTTGTCTTGTGATCGCTTCATAAGAAACCTAATGAAAAAAGCCGAACACCGCCAAAAATTTCCCACTTAAGAGCCTGGTTCGGTTAGTTAACTAGTTATTTTTGACATGATACCAAACAAATGTAATATTTTCAACATGTTTCAGAAATATATGTAAATGTTTGTTGCTACTGTTTACTAGTACGCAGCCTCTATATGGATATGGAGTGGCCCAAGTTATCGAATCTAGACATCCAGACTTCAAGAAAGGTGACTTGGTTTGGGGAATCACAACAGGGGAAGAGTACAGCCTTATTGCAGCACCAACACCAGAAACTCTCTTTACAAAAAACCCAACTGATGATTTCCCTATTTCCTATTATCTTGGAATTTTTGGTATATATATGCAACCTCTAAGATCTCTTTTTGATTGAAATATCAATTAATCTTCAAAATTACAATTAGTATATTCAAAATCTTATTACTGTATATTGATTTGTAATTTGCAGGTATGCCTGGCCTACTTGCCTATCCTGAGACTTTATGAGATTGGAACTCCAAAGAAAGGAGATTTTGTGTTTGTTTCAGCTGCTTCTGGTGTAATAGGTCAAATTGTTGGGCAATTTGTGAAGTTGGCTGGTTGCTATGTTGTTGGAAGTGCTGGAAGCAAAGAGAAAGAGAGTTATTTCATCCCCAAACAAATCCTTATATTTACCCAGTTTATCAGCTTTTGATTATGTCTTTGCTTTTAATTATTATTTCTTCACATTTTTGTTAAAGAACAAACTGGGATTCGATGAGGCTTTCAATTACAAAGAAGAACAGAACTTGGATGCAGCTTTGAAAAGGTAATTAGTACTTAAATAATTAACAAGTACTTATTACAACTGAAAAAACATTAATTAATTACCAAGAAATCTAATATGTCTTGACATGTAAATGCATGCAGATGTTTTCCTGAAGGCATCGACATATTCTATGATATTGTTGGCGGGAAAATGCTTGACGCAGTGCTAGTTAACATATGAGACCCCATGGACGCATTGGATTATGTGGAATGCTGTCACAAGAAAACGTAGAACAACATGAAGGAATACACAATCTGATGGAAGTAGTGTCGAAACGTATTCGCATTGAAGGGTTGGTTGCTTTTGAGTACTACCACCTCTTTCCAGAATACCTAGAAATGGTTGTGCCCAACCTAAAAGAAGGGAAGATCACATATCTTGAAGATTTTGCCATTGGGTTTGAGAGCAGTATAGCAGCTTTGGTTGGGCAATTCACTGGAAAGAATGTAGGAAAGCAAGTGGTTAAAATTGCTGATGAATGATTTTTCTTGGGTTTTTTCATTTACTTCCGATGGTTAATAAATAATATATAATTAAGCTTTGCAAAGTTCTATGATCAAACAAAAGAAAATAAGAATTTTCGTTCAAATGAAAATATTTTTGACCATATACCGGAAAAAAAAAAGATAAAATATAAAAAATTTTTATTTTTATTGGTTTAGTTCATGGTGAGGCCATTAACCTGGTCTAGACAAGTATAATTCGAGTTGAATTAGAAAGTTGTCAGGTTGTTACTTGGTTGGAAGTGCTGGAAGCAAAGAAAAAGTGAGCTTCATTCGATGATTTTTCTTCCCTTGGCTGTAATGTTTTTCTTTTATCTGATTTTACTTTGTCCATTTTAAGGTTGATTTGTTGAAGAACAAGTTTGGATTCGACGAGGCTTTCAATTACAATGAAGAACAGGACTTGGATGCAGCTTTGAAAAGGTACTTTATCTGATTTTACTTTGTAACATTTTAAGGTTGATTTTGTTGAAAGAACAAGTTTTGGATTCGACGAGGCTTTCAATTACAATTTGAAGAACAGGAACATTGGCTGCAGCTTTTTGAAAAAGGATGCAGCTTTGAAAAGGTACTTCCTTCTTTCTATTATTGAGATTGAAACATAATACACACCATTACAAAGAATTAATCAAACCCAATTGTTGGAAAAATGCAGATATTTTCCTAAAGGAATCGATATATATTTTGAAAATGTTGGTGGTAAGATGCTGGAAGCAGTTCTGCTGAATATGAAATTTGGGGGACGCATTGTTATGTGTGGATAGACGAGGTTTATGGAGTAAAAAATCTAACGCAAATAGTTTACAAAAGCCTCCGCGTGGAAGGATTTCTAGTTGCCAATTACCTGCACCTAATTCCTAAGTACCACGAAATGATAATACCAAAAATAAAAGAAGGGAAGATTGTTTATGTTGAAGATATTGCCGCCGGTATAGAAAGCGGTCCGGCGGCTGTGGTTGGCGTATTCAGAGGATGTAATATGGGAAAGCAAGTGGTTAAATTCAGAGGATGTAATATGGGAAAGCAAGTGGTTAAAGTTGCCGATGAATGATGACTATTAATTGAGCTTCTTGATAATAAAATTCAGCTATGGCTGCCTGCCTATACTTGAAGGAGGAGAAGAATAAGAATAATAACTTGTTTGGGATGAATGCTTTTTTGTTCATTAGTTATAAAAATACATTTAAAAGTACACTACTTGAATAGAGAAGAGTTTGTATTTTCTTTTCTTTTTTTGGAGAATTTGTATTTTATTTTATTATTAATCATTAAGAATTTTAATTTATACTTATATATAGATTAATGGCTAATAATTTTAGTTTGATACTTGGGAAGCCCAATAAATTTAATGGGTCGGAATAACATTGAACAAATTGGTGATAATTTAGTAGTTGATATGTTTCAAACTCAAATCTCTTACTCAACACATCTTTGATAATATGTGAAAAGATCGATCAGGTCACACCCGATTAATATTAATAATTTTAATTTAAAATTATTAGAGGAAAATATTAAAATGATAAGCATTGTTAAATTATTATATTATAAGTGCATAACCGTGTAGTCAATATTCTTAGTATTCTTACAATTGCTTGAATTGACTACGCTCCGCGTGGTTTGCTAAGTGCTGACGTCGATTGATTTGGTCTTAGTCTCAAATGCAAGCGGCTAAAATTAAAATTGCCATTTGCCGATGGACGACTATTGTAAAATTCATCTTGAGTTGAAACTTTACAGCCTAAACTTTACAGCCTGTTTGGAAAGGAGGAAAATGGGAAGAAAATAAAATATGAGAAGAAAATAATCATGAAAGGTTATCTTACTCTGTTTGGAAATATGAGAGATAAAATTGGAAAAAAAAATCTGTATTAAATTTCACCCATACCCACCAATTTTTAATCTCTCCAAAACCGAGAGAAAATGGCTGACTGAGAAGAATCTCCACATTTTAGCATGAAATTACAAAACTATCGCTCTAATTGTCATACTATATTCATTATTTTTCTTTCATGTTTCAACTGATTTCTGATAAATTATAATATAAAATAATTTTTATACATATGCATTTTGCAATAATTGTGACTTCCTACATTAAGACATAGTTTAGTAGTAAGTGTATATACGCTCCGACAATAGAATCTGGATCGAATCCCCTAATGCTTAAAAAAAAAAAACTTGTGACTTCTGTTACACAATTGCTTTATTAACTATGGTGAGCCCACCTAAAATATTTGTACTATAAGAATTTAATTCATAAATTATTTCTTAATTGAATCATTTACAAATTTAAATGAGATAGAAACCGCAAGAATTTAAGTCATAAAATATTTCTTAATTGAATCATTTACAAATTTATTTCTTAATTTGAAATGCATTTACAAATTTAAATCATTTACAAATTTAAATGAAATAGAGACTACAAGAATTTAAGTGAGAAAAGATATTACTAAATGGAATAATCAAAATACAATAAAGAACTGACATTTGATCTGAAGGTTGTTTTAATGTAGAGCTGAGAAAGCTTATTAACCATATCCATATACTAATGTCTGGCTACTAATTAAATTGAAACAGTTATAATCATTTATCAGCAATTTTTTTATCAGCAATATATTGATTTATATCCAGAAAAAATTTAACATTTTTAAGTTTCTATATTAGATTATTTTAATAATCTGTATGTGGCCCATGAGATTAAAGGGCTGATTCTAATTAAAGTAACCAAGATGATGGTTATTGGGTTTAATGGATAAGAGCCAGTTAGGGTTTTAATACCCTTCCTCTGCCTTATAAAGGAATCAACAGATTAGGGTTAACACAGAACAGAAACAAGAAGAGTGTGAGCGGCTCCCTCAAACACATAGCAGAGATAGTTTATTTGAGAGCAGCTCATAAAAGAACTCCGCATGCTGTTGATTTATTCTCTGTTGATTATTCTCCTGACCATTAAGAGAGCACTTAATGGACACAAAAGGCCTGAGTGCAAGAAACGTAGATCTGCTGTTACCGGTGAGAATCGATTGTCCACGAGGTAACCCATAACATGTAGATTCTGGCCGTGGTAACCCATAACATAGATCTGCCGTTATGGATCAAGGTACGCTTCCGATTATTGTATATTCTTGTCAAACAAATTCTATGAACAATAGGTCTGGACTATATTAAAGTTTATTCAACATTCTAAACCTGAGCTATCAGGTTCTCTAAATACACCCAACCTAATTCAAAAATGCTAAGTAAAAACACATGAAAAACTTTAACTTACATGAGATTCATCTCTTCGTGAGATAAGAAACAAATCACAATATTGAAACAGCCTGACAATCATACTAAAGCTAAAAACTCATTAGATGCTTCAACACCCTTCTTCGCCAAAGAATTTTGCAAAGCCCAAATCATTTCATTACCAGCAATTCTTAACCACTCGCTTCCTTACATTTCTGTCTAGTTAAAGAAGCCAACCAAAAAGCTGCTGGACCGCTTTCAAGGCCACTGGCAATATTCTTTCAATATAAGTTAATCTTCCCTTCTTTTATGGATTTTGGCACCAACCATTTCCAGGTGTATTTTGGAAAGAAGGTGATAGTAATCAGACACAACAAACCCTTCCATGACGATATATGTTTTCAGAATAAGTCTACAATGCTGTTGTAATTCCTTCGTGTTTTATCTGAATTTCTCTTGTGTGTGTATTCCTTCGTGTTTTTCTGAATTTTCTTGTGATAATATTCCACATATTACAATCCGTCCATTGTATCTCATGTTAAGTAGAACTGCGTCGAGCATTTTTCCACCAACAATATCAAAATATAGGTCGATGCCTTCAGGAAAATACCTGCATGTCAAGAAATATTTGATTTATTAGTAATTAAACGATGTTTTTTCAATTTCATTAAATACTTATAATTAATTTAAGTGCTAACCTTTTCAAAGCTGCATCCAAATCCTTTTCTTCGTTGTAATTGAAAGCCTCATCGAATCCAAATTTATTCTTCAACAAATCAACCTTAAATAATAAAAGGAAACAAAGTGAAAAAGCTGACCAATCAAGTAATTTGTTTTGAGTGTAAAAAAAAAGAAATGAGAGATACAGAATAAGACTTGTCTACACTCGATGTATGGAATCACGTATACACCCAGCTATTCAAAGAAGGATTTTTTAAAAAATTATTGCTGTTTTTTTTTTTTTTCTTCAGTAAATGGTCGGAAATACTCTGACTCCAATCAAAAAACTATATTTGATTGGTTTTGGTGTATGCATGCATAAGAAACTCACTTTCTCTGTACTTCCAGCACTCCCAACAACATAGCAACCAGTCAACTTTGCAAATTGCCCAACAATTTGACCTATTGCACCAGAAGCTGCTGAAACAAACACATAATCTCCCTTCTTAGGAGCACCAACCTCGTAAAATCCAGCATAAGCAGTTATCCCAGGCATACCTATTCTTAGGAGCACCAACCTCGTAAAATCCAGCATAAGCAGTTATCCCAGGCATACCTACAAAATACAAATCAATATGTAATAAGATTCTTGAATTCTAATTATAATTTTAAAGATTAATTAGTATGTCAGTCAAAGGAGATAGTTAGCACATACCAAGAATTCCAAGATAATAGGAAAGAGGTAAATCATCAGAAGGGTTAATTTTAAAGAGAGTTTGTGGTGTTGGTGTCGCAATGTAGCTATACTCTTCCCATGTTGTGATTCCCCAAACAAAGTCACCTTCCTTAAAATCTGGATGTCTAGATTCTACAACTTTGGCCACTCCATATCCATACAGAGGCTGCATGTTAATAAACAAAATTTCTGAAACATGTCAAAAAAATTTCTCTGCAACTTTTGACTTAAACTAACAATTATAACGATGAAAATGAAATGTTAACTAACCGAACCAGGCTTGTAAGTTTGAAATCCCTGGCTGTGTTTTACTTCTTTCATTAGGTTTCTCATGTAGCGATCACAAGACAAGTAGAGATTCTTGACAACGATTCCGTTACTTCCTTCTGGGACTTGAAGTTTGACCGAATTACTACTCACGTACATGTCTGATTCTTGAGGGTGACGAGTATTTACATAGTGTTTGAATATAACCTGCTTGTTACTTACTGTTCCTTCATTTGCACCAGCCATTGTTGCTAAAAATAATTAAGCTTCTTTCTCTGATCAACTGAAATTTCCTAATAGAAATAATATAATGTTTGATTGATTTTGTTTCGTTACACCTGCATGCTGGAAGTAAATATATATACTCATCACCTGTGTGAACTGTTGCATGAATTCACTTTCACTTGTTTGAAAAGTTAAAGTTATAATACTTTCATTCACGCGTAGATGAAGTAGGTAATTTTAGCTAGAGGATTAGACCCGGTGAATTGTCATCTGAATATATATATGTGTGTGTGTGTGTATGGTGTTAGGTAGTTAATCTGGCAGTATCAAAATGACGTCATCCACGTGGATCTCTTGACTATATGTCATATAGACACGTGGCACAAATTTACATGTGGCAGTTTTAATGATGTGGATTTCCACATGATGACAATAACCATGATAATTGCACCTTAAGTCTGGAGTCCTATAAACACGTTTTCTTCGTAAATTCAATTGAGTCACCATACAAGTTTTGGATTTTTTAATCAAGAGACGAGACCACCCGTCATCTCATAGTAATCGAAAAAAAAGCTTTCCTGCGACACACAATAATTTACTCCAGTCTGCAATATTTAAGTTATTTCAATAATTTTTTTAAGGTTTAATGGTCTACTTAATTTAAATATTTTTGATTCTCTTCAAGGGGTAAAAGATCTGGCCTGTGAGAATTTTACGCTAAGAGTGACGCCAAATTTAATATTTTGAGGATTTTTCAATCCCTTACGAGCTACCCTTTCAATATAAGTTACTTCAATAATGCAATTGAGTCGGCAAAAGTTACAACAATGAAAAGTTATATTGTTTAGTATTATAGAGAATAAAGATATAAATTGACCTCTCTTTATCCAAAATTAACCTAACATAACAATACATCATCCTGTTTGCTCCCTCTCACTTGAAAATTTTCCATTGTTTCATTGTTATGTGCTCTGTTTCAGTTATTTGTCTCGACTCCAGTGGAGACGGTATGGCGAGCAGCCGAGTACTACTCTGCTTTATTAGAATACACAAAGCTAAATTTCAAGAAACTTTTCTTTCCATCTTCAAAATGAATTATTAATATTCTTATTCCTTTTCTACGTTATTTTTGTGGAAATTGGAAAAACAATTGATGGAAACTTATTTAAATATTTAATGACGTAAAGTTGGATGTACACTACTGACTTTGTTCAAATATTTAGCTGGTTAATCTTGACTGATCAAATAAATAGAATTGAACTCACGAAATAGTTTAGGTGGGTGCAAAAGAAGAAACAGAGACCAACAAGCAGGTTATATTCAAAAACCCATGCGAATACACGTTTCCCTCAAGAATCAGACATGTATGTGAGTAGTGATTGGATTAAACTTCAAGTACCAGAAGGAATGAAGTTATTCTTAAGAATCTCTACTTGTCTTGTGATTGCTTCATGAGAAACCTAATGAAAAAAGCTGAACACCGCCAAATATTTCCCACTTATGAGCCTAGTTCGGTTAGTTAACTAGTTCTCTTTGACATGATACCAAACAAATGTAATATTTTCAACACATTTCAGAAATTACTTGGGTTTTTTCATTTACTTCGGACGGTTAATAAATAACATATAATTAAGCTTTGCAAAGTTTAGTTATCCAAATCGATGAAAATATTTTTGACCATATACCGCAAAAAAAAAAAAGAATAAAATATAAATTTTTTTTATTTTTATTAGTTTAGTTCATAGTGAGACTATTAACCTAACCTAGACAGGTATAATTCGAGTTGAATTAGTCATCTTCTATTCTTCTTATTGAGAGTCAATTGCCTATGTACTCTGTTGCCATGAACAAATAGAAGCTTGTAGGAAACATTGATTATAAGCAGAAACTCTACACCACTAGTCCAATTGAAAGACTACTCATCGCCATGGACCCCCCTACTTACGTTAGACTTAGAGAATTAATTAGCTTAGCGATATAGCAAGAGTGATGGTGAACAGTGAAGAATAGTGAGCAACAACATTATATCAAAGATTCGTGAATGAAGGCTCCTAAAGAATCAGGAAATGTGGTGGCTTTTGATAAATCAAGGTCCAGAAGGAACTAATGGGTGTTTGTAAGAATCCTCGTATTGTGGTCTTGTGATCCATAAATATGAAACGGTAGATGAGAACCAAAATCGAGGAGTACCTCTGAAAGCCTTGTCGAGCTGGTTTGTTAAGATAATGGAGTTGGAGTGGGTAAGTTTAAGATCAAAGGCCTCCTTGTTGGATTTAATTTTCTATTGTGGCTTAATATGTAAAATTATAATTGTACAGAGTTTCTAATTGTACAAGTAATATTACAAAATGTGTCTTGATGTAAATAATGATATTGAGGTTCAAAATAATTATAGATTTAATGAATGACCATTATATAATTCCTTTTCGTTAAAGGGACGAAACAGGAATGGTACTAGACGCTACTAGGTATATAAAGGTCGTCGGCCAGGGAGTTGTAATACATTCAGTTTAACGTTCCTTTCGTACTGTTCGGTAAATGATTCTTCAATTCTCTGGAGGTGCAAACTATTTTATCATCATAAGTGACGAACGATGTCAGGTAGCATACTTTTCTTATTCAATATATTTTGTTGAATTAGTTGGTTTGCACGATTAAGGTTATTAGTTGAATTATTTGAGATTAATTTAATAAAAGTGGTATCAGAGCCTTTGTAATAATTGCTGATTTTAGATTGATTTGTATGTTTTTTTTTATTTGTTTACCCTACTATTTACGAATTTGAGGGTTTTGTTTAAAGATAATAAATAAAAAAAAAGTGTTTTGTGTTTTCTTTTGATTCAATCATGTGTTGGACCCTGATTTTCACGTCGGTGGTATTTTGTTTTTTGCTGGCCGGATTTTGTTTAAATAAAATAAAATAAAATAAAAAAAACCTTTTTGCTGGCCGGATCTCCAATTTTGTTTTTTTGGAGAGAGTCGGCCGAGAAGAAGGTTTTTTTGGTTTTAAGGTTAGGGATGGAAAATTACGGTTAGGTCCCTGGAAAATTTTCGTATTAGGCCCCTAAGTTTCTGTAACTTCAGATTAGGCCCCTAATTTTCTATAACTTCAGATTAGGCCCCTAATTCTCTGTAACTTCAGATTAGGCCCCTAATTTTCTATTTTTTTTCGTATAGACCCATGGACATATATTTAATTAAATTAGACCCCCGAACTTTATTTATTCTGTACTTTATATTTAGCTCCTAATTTTCTATAACTTTAGATTATGGCCCTAATTTTTTTTTTTTTCGTATTTTTTTTCGTCTAGACCCGTGGACATATATTTAATTATATTAGAACCCCGAACTTTATTTATTCAAATTTATTTAGTCCAATTTTATAACTTAGTCTCTAATTTAGTGACTTAAAGACTAGATTATAATTTTTTTTTATTTTTTAGGGCTAAATAATTTTAGATTATTAAATATTTAGACAATCAATTCCTTTAATTGCAATTGTTTTGCTTTAATTACAATTAAATGAATTAATTTGTCGACTTGAGATTAAATTTTGGAGTGATTAAGTCCCTATTGTGTTTAATATTTGTTAAAATAAATTGATTTGATCAATAAGTCACATCAATAAGTTCACAATAGTGACTCTATTGGTTGAAATTGATTTATTTTAGAATATTAGATCAGGTGTAATTAGAATTCGATTGCGGATAGTGAATTCGGCCAAAGGAAGGTTACTGATCTGGCTGAGTTTTTGAATAATGTTTGGCAATAAAATACTGATAATGAGTTTGATTAACTTATCTTCAATGACAATGATATATCGGTCCTCAAGGAACGATTCTTATTATATTGTCACGGATCTAATTACATTGATTGCTAAACAATACAGCGTTGAGATACAATTTAAATAATGTTTACATCAAAATGAGAAATTATAGTTTGTGTCTGTCACATTTATTTCATTTTTGATCTATCTTATGGTGAATTGTTTCATTGTGGTTGTGGCTTATACTATATATATATATTTCTCTTATGTCCAGCTAACAGTGTCATTTTAATCTGATTGTGTCCTTAAACTTGAGGGATCAAATTTTGGTCTTGGAAAATCAGACATTATGATTTTTCTGGGCTGTAAATGGTTTGGATCTTGCATTCCAGGATGGATAAACTGCTCTGATATTACTGTACGAGCCATGATGTTCAACAGGGTTTCAGTATGAGAAGTGGGAGAATTCTAATCGTAGGTCTGATGATTCATGCGAAAGGAGTCCAGAACATGTTGCGATGACTCTGTCTCATGTGAAGGCATGCTCAAAACTATTTTGCCTAGCTGGAGAGGAGCTTTTAGAAATGACAAGAGCGAAGTGGGAACAATTTATAGAAATTAACCTCCCATTGAAGTTTGACTGGCATGGTGGTGGTTCGGAGCATAATTCTTAGCATGTCCTTCAGAATTGCAAAGAGAGCTTGAGGCGCTGGGTATCGGCTTTTACAGATGACCCTTCTTAAGATCCTTTGTTATGAATTCTCTCTTCTCCGTATGGACAAATTGGACTTCCTAACTAATTGTCAAATGGACTCTTAACGAGCTCATTTCTCATTGTGTTGATGAGGAGGAAAAGATGAATTCTAACAAAAGAGAGAGTGCTCATTTTGTTTCTTCAGCTGAGAAGGGCAAGAACAAGAAAAGAAAGAGGCCTTCTGCAAAGACTGTTGAAAAGGCTATTGAGAAACCTGCTGTTGCTACTGCTGTAGATCCAGTACAAAAGAAGCCTTATGTGCCAAAATGCTTCTTTTGTGGAAAGACGGATCACTTGAGAAAGGACTGTCCTAAATTTGCTAATTGGCTTGCAAAGAGGGGTAAGTACCTTGTATTTTTTTGGGCTTTGCAATTTTTGGGTTTTAAGTGCCTGTTTATTTTGTTTTGTGAAGTTTATTATTTAACTCATATTTTCTTAAAAATATCTTATTTTGGATGATTCTGGTGCTTTAACCGTCATAAAGTGTTGTCACTTGAGGGCTGACTCAACTACAGAATGCCAACTGACGGGTCGAAAAATACGTCATGTGGAAATGGCGATACGGTTGAAGCT